GGGTTAGGGTTAGCAGCTAGTTAGCTAACCCTAACCCTAACACCAGGAGTGTTTCAGACGCAGCACGAGGTGACAAAAGCATCAGAGAATTGCAACAGCACGTGAGATTTCTGACGAGCCAAAGGAAGATGGCAGCATGCATCCTAACTGATGTGCAGTTTATGTTCTGTTGTTTACCTCGGTTACGGAGGTTTCATAGGAAGTGACGTATTTTTACAAGTTAGGCGAGAAGTAGTCTGCATATGACTTTTATTTTGAAAGTGTCAGGATGTTTTATACTGCTCTGTGTTGGACTTCCTGTCTGGCCCGATCTGAACTGGTGAGCTTGACGTGTTCTGAAAGTGTTGTGTAAAAAACAGACTTAAAGCGACACGTCCCCGCGTTTCTAGGATGCTTCCGGAACACGCCCATGTGGTCCGGTGGAGAGGCGTCTTCATCTGAGCCCAAACAGAGTTTCAGTCCTGGGGCGTCGTTTGTGACGCTGCTGTCGCACAAAACCAGTCTCTTTCTGCACAGACTGTCTGGTTTCTGCAGGTAAACATGGCAGTGAAGTGTGGCGGCTGGAGACTGACACTGCAGGCAGCACATTTTGGAGGTGGGGAGCCTGGAAGTGCAGCCCCAATAAAGCTCCTCCCCTTTTTACCAGCTGTTCTGTTCCAGTCTTTAAACTAAAAAATAAGCTTTCGGGTTTTGATTCTTTCAGAGACTGAAGACTTGGTGGTGATCTGGTCCCTGTTGATGTGGTGGTGGTGGAGCCTTTAGACCAGTGTTACTGCCGACCGTGAGCTCAGAGTCAGTCTGGACCGCTCCAAATGAAGCCAGAACCACTGAGATGGTCCTTTGAAGTGGGCTGCTGTGTCTCCTCTGACATGATGTTGCATCACTGCTGACCCAAGTCTGAGGCGGCATGGTGAAAATCCCCTCAGGTCCAGGAGAAGCAGGGTCAGAACCATCAGGCTTCCGGTGCTGGAATGTCCCAGAACACTGGATGGTCACGTTCCGAGGTCTCACGGGAGCCTCTGATGAATTCTGTTATGAATCTGGCATCAGGACCAAATCAGCTCTCCTTCAATGTTCTGAGATTCTCTGATCATAAACGTTTCAGGAGAAGTGAGAGAAAGAATGATTTTCTCTTTTAAGAAAGAGTGGGTTCTGGTTCTGGTTCTGGTTCTGCAGTTTAACGGGAGGTGAGATGATGGATGAAGCGATAAACTGGGTGTTGAGACGAGGCTGTGGCTGAAAGATGGGTGAAAGGAAACCAGGAAATATAAAAGGATTGTAGAACTGGACTGAAGGAATTCATGACCGTGTTGATGTGGAGGAGGAGGAGGAGGAGGAGGAGGAGGAGGAGGAGGAGGAGGAGGAGGAGGAGGAGGAGGAGGAGGAGGAGGAAGCTCTTGGGGATCTCATCCAGACAAAAACCTCCAGAGTTCACATCGTTTAACTGTCAGTGATAAAACATGAAGAATGTTGTGACATCATCAGCTGGTCCGTCTGCTCCGGTCAGCTTCCCGTTGCTGTGAGAGCCATTCTGGAATTCTGCTGCAGGAAGTTGAGACTTAAACATGTTTCAGTGTTTCATGAATAGAACCATTTGGGCGTTTCATCAGTGAAAACCTTGAAGGTGCCGTTGAGCATGCCTGTTCAGTAAGTCCCACATCAGAATCCAGCTTTATTCTTTAAATAGAAAAAAATCTACTTTTTTATTTTGTCTCCACTTTTCCGACGACTCCTCTCGGGCTTTTCCCAGAAACATTAACAAGTAAACAAGATTTCAGGCCAGGAATTGGGTGAAAGCTTTAAAGAGTTTACGTTCTTCCCGCCCCTGAACAGCCTGTGTTCAGAGAAAAGGTCCGTTTCTCAGTCCTGTTGAGTCTGACTGAAGACCGGTGTGATGCTCTCCTGCTCCTGCGGGGCTGAACATGAGAGGTCTGTCCTTTTCGTCGTGGTACCCTTCAGCTGTGAGAGACAGGTCGTAAAGGTCCAGGAAATCACGTTGTTTGATTTGTGATGAACTTATGGTGCTGAGATGAAGGATTTAGCTCCTACACATGCAATACCTCTGCCCCACAGGCCCGTTCTGTCCTCCACACGTTACCTGTAACTATAGCACCTGTCCTCACCTTAAACCAGTCAGACTCCACCATGGCTGCGACCAAAGAGCTGTCTGAGAACAACAGGGACAAGATGAGCCAATCAGCAGAGATCAGCTGTTGGAGCAGTTATCAGTAAACGGGATAAAAACAAGATCACTGCTGTCCCTCAACCCGGGGCTCCACGCAACATCTCACCTTGTGATGGACACGTGATCTTGAGCACAGTGAGGAAACAGCCCATAACTGTACGGGGGAACTGATCAATGACCTGGAGAAAGCTGTGACCTCAGTAGCAAAGGTCACCCCAGTAGCACACGTGTGGCCTTCACACACTAGCATCCACTCCGCTCCGCCTGGACCAGGTTGGGAGTGTTCTTGTTTAGGTAGCCTTTCCGTGCGCAACC